AGATGGTTTCCTGTGCTGGCAGATTGCTGTAGCAGAGCATCCTAATAATCTTGGGCTGTGGCACTAACCACATGTGTCTTTGATTAGATGCCATTGCCAAGAACCAAATGCAGCCAAGTGGTTCCTGACTGAGAAACCTGATCCATAGAGGGGGAGAGAAGCTGTGTGTAAGCATTGTCAGTAACACCTTGCCTTGGGAAAGGGCCCAAGGCCAATGGCCAACGGAAAGATTGAATTTGTGATCTGGTTATCCAAGAAGTGTCTGCAAATACTAAGTGTCTGCTGGTTTGGCTCTTGTTTTAAGTGGGCAATACATGTAGCGCACCATGGGAAATGGGGTCTGTGTGCCACCTCATTCCCATCTGCCTGTGCCTGCTCTCACTATGCTTCCTTGCAGGTGGAATGATATTAACAAACCATGGAAATTGTGGACAAAAATCTATTATTGCACAGTTCCCTGTGTGTGATCTGCCAGAAATACATGGCAAAGGCACAGAGGGTTTTGCCTGCCCAGTGCAGCCCTGCCCTCACTGCAATTCAGGACATGCCTAAGGTACCACTTTAGTACCACAGGAGTCTGAAATGCAAGCAATCATGAAACTGTTGGCTTGTTAGTCCATTTGCCAAGCTCTCCTGCAGCATCATTGAATTGCTGAAGCCACAGGTTCTCCCATAATAATGTGCTCATTGTGAGCCCATGGAAAAACTGTGTTAACCTGTCAGGCTGTTCCTCTGGTGCTGCTTTGCATCTGACCTGAGGGACCAAGCTGGCATAGACTTTTCATAGTGGGGAGCAGTTGCTGTAGCAGGCTGTTGCTTATTCTACAGAAAGTTAAAAAGAGAAAGCTTAGCAGTTTCACAGTCATGCAGTGGAAAACTGACTTAAAAATAATAATAGGGGTTGGGGATTTTGCTTGTTTCCCATTGTTTTGTTTTCACTACAGAGTATTTCAGAAAAGTGCTTGCATTACAGGCATTACAATGCCAAGAGAAAAGCCCTTCAGTAGAAATGGTCCCCTCCCCTTCCTAGGAAATGCTAGAGTTAACAAAAAACCCAAACAAACCCTGAACCTACAACCGTACTGCCTGGATGCATATGCAGATAGCTATGGTGATGTCTGGAATGCAGTGCTTAAGACTAAGATTTTCAAGTGGCAAATAGGTCTTGATGAAAGGTCCTTCTGAGACAGTTTAAATTTTCTTTCTGTTGAATGTGTGTTAGGCAGTGCTAACGTTTGATATGGATTCGAGTTCCCCCACCACTTTCAGAAGAAAAGCGAGTGCATTTGAAATGTTCTCTGCGTTTGTAGGTGATAACAGGATCACCACATAGGAAATGCCTTAGAGTCACCCGGCAAGTTAATCAGATAAGTGCAGTCTCAGCTGTGTAGACTCTTTCCACCATGGGTACCACTGTCGGGGTGCTGCTGACTCCTAAAACTCAGGGCAGCTTCAAATGGCTTATGTGAAGCCTGATGAGGTTGGGATCAAGGGAAATGGGATGAACTTGTATCTCGGGGCTGAAGCATTGTGGAGGGGCTCTCCAGGTCTGGTGTCTGTCAGTCATGTTGCTGCTGCACCAGCATCTAAGCATCTAACTCCATCTAAGCAAGATTGGTGATTTACTGGTTCAAAACTTCATGTTCTCTCTGCTAAAGCTAGTTTCTGTACTGAGACTGATGAGTCTAGTGTGAAACAAGTGTGTTGTAAAGTATGAGGGATTATGTGATTTTGGGACTAGGAAACAATAGTAATTGTGCTTTTTTTACAGGCGTTTTATACATTGGTATGGGTGCTTTTTTTGGTTTGTTTAGAGCTGGATCTGGAGGAGAGGTCTGGATTTGCCCTGATTTCGCCATAATTATTTGGCCTGAAGGCAGAAATGTAAAGTGAGATGCAGAAATTACCAAGGATAATAGCTTTGGGGATGTTGCAGGGAGTTGTTGTTTTGCAAACAATTTGTGGCATGAAATCACAAACACACATGCTTTCCTGGCAGCAGAGAACAAGAGTGCTTTGTGCTTCTGGGAGTCCTTGGCCTGAAAAAGACCTGCAGCCGGGAATGTAACATTCACCCTTGACCAGGGAATGCCCTTGCAATGACCATGTTATAAAAAAGGCCATGCAAAAAGGTGCAGCTCCACCTGACATCTGCACTGAAATGTCCCTGAAAGATAATGCGGGTGTGTCCTCCCCACCCTGTCCTTGATGATCCCTGGCAGGAAATGGTCTGAAGTTTTAAGTCAAATTTACCAGGTTCTGAAAATAAAAGTTCTGACCGGCTTCATGCTTCCTGATCCTTTTCCTTCTTTTCCTGTCTTTTGGGCTCCTATGCATTTTATAGTGCAGGTACATGGACTATAGGTCAGTTAGGCTATAATTATAGCACAAGTACAACTCAGTCCTAATGCTGTCACAATTATCTCTATCTTAGAATCACAGGATAGTTAGGGTTGGAAAGGACCTTAAGATCACCTAGTTCCAACCCCCTGCCATGGGCAGGGACACCTCACACTAAACCATGTCACCCAAGGCTCTGTCAATCCTGGCCTTGAACAACGCCAGGGATGGAGCATTCACAACTTTTTTGGGTGCTTTGGGAGCCTCTGATGGAAATTGCCGTGCAGAGCTGGGCACTGCTGCAGTGTCATTGCCAGTGCAGCTGGGATGGGAGCTGCAGGCTGAAATGAACCCTTAATTCTCTGCAGCACCCAGCGTCTCTTTCTGTGACTTGTGGCAAGGCACTGCAGATACTGGAGAGCAACCCCCGGAAGCCCCTAATGCGATGCTGGCTGTGCCCTGGCCAAGCAGACTGAGTGCTGCTGCTGAGGCAGACATTCCCAACCGCCGGGGCAGGGTTTGACATAAATACCAAGACATTGACGTTTGCATTTTTTGTTTTCTGGATGTATTCACAACTCTGTTAGAAAAGGCTTGTTCCTGAAGCTGTGAAGGTCTAGGGAAATTCCTTTGAAAACGGCCTTGTGCTAAAGCAATTAATATTTATGACAGATAATTAATTCCAAAGGAGGGATAAAATTGCTGAAAGGCAAAATAAGAGAGTGAAAACTATTTGCACGTTTTTGAGGCATTTCTTATTGCAAAGGGAGGGCTTATTACTGAGATTAGCTTTTCAAAGGTTTTATAAAATAGAGTTCAATAGCTATACAGGCTGTATTGTTTGGCACCAGCGTCTCGGTTTGTGGATCTGAATGTCTGCTTGCAGTTAATATAGGTGCAATAAACATATGTGTGCAAAGAATTAATGAAAAAAAACCCAGTTCAAGTGCCATAAGAAATGTGTTGCAGCAAAACGTGAGCATAGTTAAATAAAAAACCCAACCAGATTGACACTCGCCTCTGAAAAACAGGAGAACTCTAAAACAACAGCGAAGAAAGAAGTCTTGAATGCTTTCTAGATCTGATGTCTCTGGGTTTGCCCCTTATGTCTGTACTTTTCTGTGACTTATATGGCACCTGTACTATGCCAGAGATGGCACCGCTGCCTGCTCCCTGTCAGCTTATACAACAGAGTCCCTTTATTCCTCAGTAAAAGTGAGAATTCTTGTCCCTCTCCATCCTCAGGAAGCCCAGCAACAGCAGTATGCCCAGAGAAACTGTGCTGGGAAGCACACTCACAGCTCCTTGAAGATGGGATGTTTTTCTTTTGCTGATATCCAGACTGACTTTCACCATACCATGTGCTTACTTGCAAGGTCACCTCTGACAGGGAAATTGTGTTCTAGTTTTTCTTACCTCATATCAGTCTCATAGGGAAGTTGCTCACATGTCTTGGTACAGACCAGGAAAGCCTGTAGATCTCCATCCAGAGTGCAGGCAGGTGTGATGAGCTGTCTGCCTCCAGCCTGCCTACATTCAAGTGTAGGGATTCAGCTGGGGGTTCAAGGTGTGCCAGTGTCTGGGGAGGGCTGCTTTTTTGTTCTGGGTACTGGTGGTCCCCAGCTGTTACTCCATGTCCTTCTGCTTCTTTTTTTCTTTGTGGGAGGAGTTTTCTGGACTAAGATAGCTCTTAAGTTTAAACCAGGGGCTAAGTAACTGAGTTACAAATAACCTACTGAAATTCCTCAAGCAATAAGAATTGAAATTCCCTTTTAAAAGTGCCAAATAGAATTAATGGCATACTTAAGTACAGCAACCGAAAGCACCCCATTTCCAGCTCAGAGAGGCATCACTGGAAGAATTAACATAAAGCTTCAATTAGGGTCAATAATTACTGAATTGATTTGAAGTTATACAGGAATAAGACCTCTGTTCAAAATGCAATTCACTTTGCAGAAAATGCCTCAGTAGCTGTGTATGGAGATTCATGAAAGTTCTGGGAGCCTGGGTGCTGGAGAAGACCATGTGTGATTTTATGGAAGGGCAGTGAGGAAGCTCTGCTAATGCATCTCAGCTGTTCTGGACTGGGCACTAGAAGGGATGGACTGGATCTGATGTAGATGTGCAAGACTCAGGCAGGGACTCCCATCTTTGATGCAGCCTTTTCCACCCTCTCCTGCTGTGGCATCGGCTACAACACTTGTTTTCCCACCACAACTTCACAATTTGTAAACTAGAATTAATAGCGGCTACTGCTGGGGTTGTTTGGAGACTTCCCAGTGTTAAAAATGTTTTTCACTTCTGTGCTACCCCAGTAGTGCTCAGTATTACTGTTATTACATGATGCTTTCTTAGCTTGCTGTTCAGAAAAGCAGCTGCCTTCTGCGGGCTGATGTAAGCTACCATTATGCTGGGTGGTATTATGTGTGCTACTGTACTTCTGGCATCCGGGTCTATCATTTAGATTAATTTGGAAATTGTGCAGTGTCTTGAGGAAAACTGCTTTTTGAATTGGAATTTGTTAGCCCAGAAAATACAATTAGTCCAAAAAACCCTCTAATTGTGTAATAAATGCAATAACGCGTGGTCTTGCATATAAATCAGAATATAACTTGTGGTGCGTTTTCCTTTTGTTGTTTGTTTGTTTTTTTTTTTCCCAGTATGGGGTACTGCATCCTTTTTGTCCACGGTCTAAGAAAGCTGTCTACATGGTTAAATAAATGGAGAATTACTGTTCTGACCCTTTTTGCTCTACTGCTGCTGCTCTTCTCTTGGAAGACCGTGAAACAGAACGAAATCTGGCTGTCACGAGAATCCCTTTTCAGGTACGAGTGACCACGGGAGAGTAATTGCATTCTTGTATTGTTTAAAATAAGTTTGTTACATTGAATAGTTTTCTTTAGCATGAGTCCTGCTATTGATGCATTGTTGTGATTAACATTTTTATTATTATAAAGTAACAGTTACTTTTTCTTTTCTGGCAACTATGCAAAAACTGGTGTCAGCACTTTACATGCTTATGCACAGACCCTGGTTGTGGCAATCACATTTTTAGGACATGCTGCTTTTACATAACTTCAGTTCTCTGGAATTACCAATAATGTAACACTTTTCCTTTTGAAGACATAGCAAAAATTTGTTGTGATCCTCCAGAACACCATAGTAATGCTGTGGAATAAACTGAATTTTCTTTAGTGATGCTCTCAATGACAAAAAATGAAATGCCATGATTTGCCCAACTTAATGTACCATATTTTATTTTATTTGATTACTCTTTGCCAAACAGCTCTCTTTACACCCTCATTTATGTATTTTTTTGCACTGAAGCAGACTGTTTCATTTTGTGTTTTGCTGGCAAATATATTGCATTTGCCTCCAGCGGCTTTCAGCAGTTGTCTAATTGTGAAGTAATCGTGGAAGTGCAGGTGATCTGCACATGGGTTGCTTAACTTTACTCTCTGACTTACTGGCCAGAGCAAAGTTTAATTTATACAGCTCTAAAGAGTATGAAATTATTTTTTATGTGTGCCCTTTGTTCTTCAGGAAGTGGTTGGAGCCCCGTTAGTGGGATTTAAGAGAAAATAAATCTGGGATAGAGGTTTCTTCACTCGGACGTGATTCATCACCCGTCTCCCTGAAAGGCTGTTTGCTGTTCAAACAATAGCAGCCATGGTGACCGGTCTGGGCTCGTGCATTGATCTCTGTGAAGCACACCTCCAGCCCAAACCCTTCTGGCTAGCAGTGGCTGGCCAGAGGAAAAGCGTCAGGCTTTCCAAGTTGGATGACTTTGTTGTTGAAAGGGGGGTGGGAAGATGGCAATTCCATATGCTCAGTTGCAGGCATCCTCTGGTATCACATTGTGTACAGTTACGGTCACCCCTGCTTAGGAACGCTGAAGTCAAACTGGAGCAGGTGGCAGGAAGACATCTCCTCCCACAAGGAGCACTCCCAGGATGATATGGGGTGCTAGGGGGTCTGTCACAGAAGAGAAGAAAAAGATTATATGTGCCTAGTTGGACATAGATGGACTTCTGTTCATCCTACCTCTGTTCAAAACAGGGTGGCCATGTACAATCCAGCTCATATTCAGAAACCATGCCACTGCTTCAATGCAGCACTGAGCTGGAGCTAATACACCTTGCCTCAAGGCAGGGATTTGGTGTTGTGCAGGATAGTATGCAGGGCTCAGTGACTTAGGTTGAGCTAACTTGCTCTTCAGCTCATGACTTTTAGAAACAGTTCCAGGAGTGGGATCTTCCTTGGGCTTTGGAGGAGAAGGCAAGAACATAGGTGTGCTCCTGCTGGGTCACCTCCTGTCAAATCCTTCTCCTGAGACGAATCAGCAGTGGATGCCTAGAAAAACAGTGTAAGAACAGGGCCAGCAGCAGTAATGCTTCTTTCCAGTCCTTTTCCAGCTTGCAGTAATCTGCAGTTTAAAGACTTCCTGAATCAGGAGTTACTTGCTATTTTTGCTTTTAACAACCACTGATGGATTTTCTTCCATTAATGTGTCTGACTGCTTTTTCAAATCTATTTATAGTTTTGGGTTCTACAGCATCCTGTGCGCTCGGCCCTGTTGTTAAATTACACAATGTGCACACTAAGATTTCCCTTCTGTCAGCCTTCTGCCTGATCATCTTGTCTGGTGTCCCCTAGTTCTGAAGTGCTGAATGAGTAGTGAGTAACAATCAGCTCAGCACTTGTACCCCTCAGCCTTTATCCCCATGTCCCCCAAGGCTGGAGTCTTCTGATTTTGAACTCTACTCATATGGAAGCTGTTCTGCATTTCTGTTCCTGCTTGTTAGTCTTTGCTGGATGCTTTCAAACTCTAATCTGTCCCTTTGGGAAGGAAACCAGAATCCCCTTTCAAGATATATGTACAGCACAGCAGCATAGGGCTCTTTCTGGTTTTAGTTCTCTTCTCCTATGAATTCCTGATCTTCCATGTGCCTTTTGTCACTTCTTATAAGCAATGGGTGATACTTTTACAGCACTGTCCACGGAACTCCAAGGTAACAATCGTGAGTGGAAGTGCCTGATTTATAGACATGAATCTGTGTGCAAATTTGTGCAGATTTAGTGTTTGCATATACACTCTGATACTTGTTCCCTTGTTCCTCTACCAGAGTTGCATTTCATCTGCCATCTTCTTGCCCAGCCTTCAATACCATGAGATCCTTCCGCAACAATATGTAGTTAGCTTTAATTGCTGCAGTGTTATTCACATCAGTGTCTCCAGCAAATGTGTCGTCTCCCTGTTTGCTTCCTTTTCAAGTTGTATGTGAACACAGCTTAGGTGCCACTGCATGTCTCTTGGCAACCCTACTTGCAGTCTTCTCCAGTTGTAAAAACTGCTCACTCTTTCCTTGCTGTCTTTCATCTAGGTGTTGATGAAGGAGAGGACCTTCCCTCCTACTCTGTGATGCCTTTAAGAAATTTGAAGTCTTTAGTGAGAGATTACATCAAAAGCCTTTTTGAATATTTAAGTGCACAACATTGATGTGTGTGATTCATCCTGACTGGGATATTTCTGGACTTTCATAAAAGCTTTCCCTAGTTTCCATACCACGTAGCTGTTGAGTCTATCAAAGAACAACAGGTCTGCCCAACCAACTTCTTTCTGCAAAAAAAAACAAGATCAGTTCTTCTCTGCTGGATTGTAGTTATCCAGAGCTTTGCTAGAACCAGTCTTCATTATGGATCTCCCCAGATTACCTGGAGTGGAAATCAAGGCTTGCTGCTCTGTTGCTCCCCAGATCCCTCCCCTAGAGCCAAATGAAGTCATGTTCATCACCTCCTATTTCTCTAGTGCTGGCCTTGTATAAATGGCAGGCTACATACTGCAGCTAACAGCAGTTTCACATTTGATTTCCTTTGCATGCATACTACCAGGCCCAATGGATTTATAGCTGTTCTTGGTGTTGATTTGTTTTAAAGCCTCTTTTACTGCCACTTCAGTTTGAGATAGGGCTTTGGACTTGACCCTGTAGGGAAAAGCTCCCACGTGGCAACCTCTTCAGTACCACTGTAGTTAGCACTGGTGCAGAGAATCCATTTAGCATTTCTGCCATGGCTTTTTCTTTTTCAAGCACTACTTTGAGACCTCCATCATCTATTTGCCTTAGGGGATCTTTGGCAGGTTTCCTATATCTGATGTATTCCGTTATCAGCTTTGATGGCTTTAGCAAGTTTTTCCTTAAATCTCTTTTGGTCTGCCTAATTATGGTTTATGTTTAACTTGCTGAAGTTTATACTCTTTTCCTTTTTCCTTCTGTAGCTGTGATGCTCACTTTTTAAAGGATGTTTTTCATTTCTCGTAGCCTTCTTTACTATGCTGTTTAACCATATTGGTCTTTTTGTTGTCCCTTTAAGATCTTAGGTGTTGTACATCTCTCTTGAGTCTTTAGGACACTTCTTATTGATGGGAAGAAAATGCAAAAGAAGAATAGTATAGCAAGAAGATAATGTCATCCCGGAGTGGGAGATCTCTTTGGGCAGGAGGCAGCTATATATAGGCTGATGAGGAGAGAACAGTGGAGTGGATGGAGACATGTGAAACAGCAATAAATTAGAAAGGACAGCACAGGAGGAGGAGATAAGGAACAGTAAAGAAGTATGAGGGAAAATAATAATGAAACAGAGCAAATCTATAGATGTGGAAAAGGAGACATAAATCAACCTACTTGGTAGTCTCTGCGTGTGTTGAATATTTTAAGAAGCATGTGCCGAGAGATTCTTTACTCCCATTCCTAGTTCTTCATTCTTCTTTTTCCAGTTCCTGCTTTAATTAATTACTGCTTTTCTCACCTCTTACTTTTTTCCCTACTTTCCATTCCTCCATTTGCTTGGATGTGTTTCTTCTGGTCGATCTGTCACTATTACCTTGGCCGAGATCTGTTTTGTTGTACAGGCTTTCTCTGCGCTGATCCAGGCGATGACTGTATACCTAGCATGTTATCAGTTTTGTGCTTGTACCCCATTTTGTCTCATTCTCCAGGCTTATCCCACTTTGACATCGTGCTGCAGCACTGTTGCCATCTCTGGGCCATCCTGGCTTTCAGTCTCCAGCCCAGGAGCCAAGTTTTCTGGATGCAGAAATCCTGCCATGTCATGGCTGAAAGTGTGGGAGGATGATGCTGTCTGAGGGAACGCTGCATGTCCACATAAGTGCACAAACATATGTGCAAGGACTAAATGAGAAGCAAATGAACCACAATTATAAGAATTGCTCAGCTCTAGAGAGAGCTCAAATACACAGAGAGCACAGAAATGCTCAAATATGTATCATTTCAATAGATCTCTAGAGGCCCCAGGCAGTTTGTTTTCCTGTATTGGCAGGTGGGCAGGGAGGGCTTATTTGTTAATTATTTAAGGAACTACCCTATAGACAGAATGTACAGGCCAGGAGGTCAGGCTCCATAGGCTTCAGCTGCGGTCAGTGTTAATTTCTGAAGCCAAGGAGAGGGAGGTGAGGGCTGTGGGCTAACCTCTGCATCCGCTGTACCAACCTTTTCAAGGCTTGTCAAGCTGCCATGTTTCCTGTTGCTCCTGGAAAGCATCTGCATGTACTGCCCACGTTTGTGACAGACAGTGCCTGGAAACACAGTTGTAACTGGCAAAGGAACTGTATGAAAGTGGCACTTTCTTAGTCAGCAGTTTTCCCTCCTAAGCCAGGTCTGCTGACTTCAGTAATCTGCAAAAAAAACAACCCATCCTCAAAGGTGGCATTTACTGCTGTCTTATTTTGTTAATTTGGAAAGCTGGCTCAGCTGGGGAGAGCAACTCCTACTGTGTTTTGTGCATCATCTATAGAGCAGTTTAATGTGGCCCAACAGTGATATCTGTGAAATCAATACAAGGGGAGGAGACCAAGGAAAGCGGTAGGTTGTGTCGTTCAGAGAATAATTTGCTGTAGAGAATCTTCACTGGTGATAATGATTCCCAAAGCAGAGGAGATTCCCTCTATCCCCCAGGGCTCTGCTGAGGTGGGAATGGCCCTGTTTCCCTGTAAACAGAGCACTTTTCATATGGAAGTCACAGAAAACAGGTAAAGCCTCTTCTGACCTGCACCCCAGGCACTTTGCAGAGCAGAACATACACTTAGAAAAACAGTGGAAAGGATCACAGAAGACTTTTCCCAACTGAACTGAGATTTGGTTGATGCTGATATTTGAAGTTGGAAAATACCACTGGTATTTTATGTCCCTGATTTACAGCTAGTAGGGTTTTGACTTTCCATGGAGAGGAAGTGTTGCGTAAAAGGGTTTGCCTATTGTTTATTTTCCATTTATGTCGCTTACTGCTCTCGTAGAAGTCAAAAGGGAAGGAAATCCTCTGTAGGAGTGACGTCTAATCTCAGTGATCTTGTTTCTGGCTGGAGCCAGATTGGTGCCATAGGTTTTCAGAAGGCACATGTGGGCCGGGCTGGAGAAGAGAGAAATGGGAGTTTGGAAAAGCACATTGGAAAATTAGACTGAAATTGTAAGAGACTGGGTGCTTCTGGGAAGCAGAAATGGAAAAACATTGTGTTCTGCCTTGTTATTTATACTCCACCCTTTCCTGCTTGGCTTTCATTATGGACATTATTGTTTCCTCTGTCAATGAGCAAACAGTGTTCTTGGCTGGCCCAAGGATCAATTAACATGAGTGTTTGCCTAAATTCTCCTACAAAACCCCTCCATGTCCAGTGCTGTGTTTGCTACTACCTCCCACAGCACAGAGACTCCAAGCAGCCTCCGTCCGATATTGTTCTGTGCCTTTGCAAAATGAAACTCCCCCCTCCCTGCCTGTGCAAGGAGAATAAATAGGTCAGGGGGTGCGAGCAGTATGATGCAGAAGAAAGCCCAAGTGAGAATCCAAACTGATTTCTGCCTGTCCTATGTCACCCCCACCTCCAGCGGAAGCATGCTGATGAAGGGAGCTTGATTAGTGATGTTTTAATAGAAGGGACCAGCAGGATTAATAATAAATTCTATTCAAAGGGAAACAGTCCAGAGTGAAAATATTTAAACATATGCATCTTACTGTTAAAACCATATCTCATTAGAACTGAAGTACTTGTGCATATGTACTGTACTCCTTACTGTTTGTTTTGTTTCAGCAGAGGCTTGTAGCAGAGCCAGCAACTCATTGCATGTAGCTCAGAGAGCAGCAGTTTTGAGTGCCTGTCCATGTCTCTGGCACTGATGTAATGAAAGCTCTCTGTATAAAAATTAATATTCCAGTAATGCCCAGAGGTTGTAAGTGTGTAGTTAATAGCTCCCAAGGCCAATGGAAATTAACACAGCCATAGCAGTCACACATTACTTGCTGCTGCTGCAGTATATCTTTGTGAAAACTAATACAGAAAATCATTCTCTTAAGAATAGCATCAATTAAGTGATTTAATTCAGCGATTAGTCACAAAATGTCTTATTCCTGTAGTGCTCCCAGTAAGTAATTTGGAAATACCTAATGATTAGGAAGCCAAATGCAAGGTGTACTTTAATTTCAGTAGGCAAACCGTGGCTATGTTGTGCTAAACTCTGTAAGGCAGCGGTGGGTGAAGCTTTGGAAGCTCTCACAAGCAGGCATTAGCAACGCTTGATACCGCTGGCTGCAGATAAGGAAAAAAGATATCCTATTTGCCACTAGGATTCTTCAGCGCTGTTTTACAGTGAAAGCCCCAGCAAAGGGTTTCTGCAGCTGTAGGTGCACTCTCCCCCACTGGTAGGGGCTGTACGCAGCCCTGTATCATTATGATTAACTTCCATACCCTCCAAAGTTAAACAGGAGAGACAGACAAGGCAAAGCAACACTTGAGAATTTCCTAAGCCTGTCTTTTTTCTGCCTGAGGTAGTAGGGTCAGAGGTGATGGAGGGAGAAAAAAGAGCGGCTGGCAGGAATCTGCTTGTGAGCAAAAACCAGAGTTTTGTCTGCTTTTACATGAACAGATGCATCCACCCTTATTTACCATTACCTCAGAGAGCCCCTATTTATGCACTGGAAAGGATTCCCCCATTAAACAGAGTACACACTTCTCTGGCTTCTTGTAGGGGAAATGTTTCCATGTCGTAGGTGCCTCGGATTTTTTTCTCTCTTTAACCTTGAAACGGTGTTTCCTCTAGCTGTGAAAGGTGTACCTTGCTTTCTGTGCGCTTAATTAAGTAAATAAGCGTATGCTTACTCTTCTCCTTTTGTCTTTGTGCCCTCATTATTAATTCCAAATGTTGAGTCCAAGCTGCATGTGGCAGTGGAGGTGGAGGGGTGGCTGTGCAGCCACATGTCTTCAGTCATGTGTTAGAATGCCAGTGTATACCCTGCCAGCTAAGGACAAGAGTCCCAGCTTAAGGGCAAGAGTGCCATTAGCCCTCACCTCCTGGCTATACTCCTCTCAGCACTAAGCAGTGCATATGTGCTGGCTTAGTACTCAGAGTATGCTATGCATCCCCTCTAGTGGCTGATGCACGTGGAAAAGTTACCTTCTTTCTGGTGCCTGCAGCTGACAGATTTAAATCAAGATTTTTCATAAGGTGCTCCATAACACTGAAGTTTAAGCAGGGAGTCTGTTATGGCTGTATTATAGAAAGTGCTACACGCTTTCCCTCTAAATGTTGGCTTTTTTAGGGTCTTTCAATTTAATAATTCAGATTTTGAAATATGACAGCATCTGGACACCGGGATTGTTGCAGTGTTGGTGCTAGAGGTGCCTGCAGTGACAGCGGCCAGGATAAGGTTGATTCCTGCCACATATTTATGTTCACTCGGAGCACGTGGGAAAAGGGGACCATGAGGAGAAGGTGGGCCTTGGGGAAAGTGGGGTAACTGGATCACTAACACTGTCCTGCTTCTGTTCCTCTTTGCAGCTCAGGAGTGAAGACCCTGCCCCACAATGCCAAGGTGCACTACAACTACGCCAATTTCCTCAAAGACCAGGGCCGTAACATTGAGGCGATCTACCATTACAAAACTGCTCTCAAGTAAGTCCCTTGATGGCCTGGGGGGCTCTGGCTGTGTGGTGCTGTTATCCCTGCCCTTCTGTGCCAGGCATGGGGCGAGCTGCCTGCTCCTCACCACTGATTCCCAGGGGCAGCTTGGCTTTCAGAGGCTGGGAAAGTTCCCTGGCTCAGTGTTTGTGTGTCATTAAGATAGCCTGGCTTCCCTCCAGCTCCACATGTGTGTGTGTGTGTGTGTGTGTGTTTGTGCACACTTCAATATATGCGATAGAAATGTTACCATAGCTACACTTTGAGCAATGAAGTGTCATTTACGCAGCTGAATGTATGCTGGTAAGCAGGAGGTAGTTGTCCTAAATGCATTTTCAGGTTCCTGGGCCATTTATCTTAGTAAATTGTTAATGGTGTGTGCCTGGAAAATGCCAGTGCTGTAGCCATCTGAAGTGCAGTAATAATAACAGTACTTACTACTTGTATTGAGGCCTCTGTCCACAGAGCTTTGCATGAACACTAAACTAATTGATCCTGAAAATGTTCCTGTGCAGCAGCAGCATAAACATCATTACTGTGTTTCCTGCTGAAGCAGGAGGGTGAATTGCCATGCCCATAGATGCATGGTAAAACTGGGCCTTGGCTGGGCTGTGATATAGGACATCTCCTGTGGTATAGGTCTTCGAAGGAACCTCCTGACAGTGGGTGGATGGGGTCACTCCCTGAGAGCAGCATCCCTCCTGCTGGGGCTGTTAGTGCAGATCAGCTGGGGCCTCAGTGGGTTCTCTGTGCCTGGGCAGTGCTCAGTGCAGCAAGCAGGTCACCCCAGTTCCCCAGACCTCTCCTGTCTGGTCCTGGGGGTCTGGCATAAGGGACAAGTCCCTCAGGGGTATAAGTGCAGGGGAAAAGGCAAAGAGACACATTGGCAAGGGAAAGCAAACATGGAGGGTGCAGATGATGTCTTTGGGAATAAAAGCATATGTGGGAAGGACAGACAAGGTGAGGAGTGGCTCAGCTGACGGACAGCAAGGGCAGAGCTCAGCTCTATAGGGCATGTCAGGAGGTGCAAGTCATGTTCTTTCCTGACACGTGGTGTGGCAGGAAACTCCAGAAATTACATCTATGTTTTGTCTTTTGGCCAGCTGACAGGGTTATACCAAAGGCTCTCCAAGGGCTCCTAACCCACCCAGGCTAAGCTTGCAGGACAGGAGTTCATTGTCACTGAGGAGGGACTGAACCCGAGTGAAAACTATTTTTACCTTTTCTGGGCAGCATCCTGTTCTGTTTTACCATGCTGGGCATTTAGGAAGTCATTTAGAAAAATCTCTATCCTATCTTTTAATGTTTCCAGGACTGAAAAATCCAGCACAACCACCAAGGTACTGAAGGTTAATTACCTTGGCTCTTGAAAACGTCCTCCGTATTTTTTAGTCTGATTTGTTTAATATCGTCTTCTAGTCACTGGGTTTGTTCAAATGCCACACTGAAGATCCCACTATTGTTTTCCATAGTGATCAGCTCCTCCCTTTACCTGCTGCTTGATACAACCCACTGATGTAGTTGCTGGCATTTTCAGTGTTGTGTGAGTTTTTGCAGTCCTCCAGTTGTTCCCGTAGCTATTCTCTGAACTTTCTCCAACTTACCAGAAAAGCCCGTTGCAAATTAAAAAGAAAGGCTAACGAAAATTGTTAAGTCCTGCAGAGAACATGCGAGCACAAAAGAATGCAACAGCTCCTACCAAAATTGCCTCTGCTTGTGTAAATGCGATTTGCTAATGAAAGATTCTGCTCTTTAACTCAGCAGCATCCATTTATTATAATTATTATGCTGCCTTCTGCTCTGCAGTATTTCAGTTGTGAAAGAGTCTGCCTTGAGAACTGATTGCTAATGTTTCCTCAACTTTATTAGATAGTGTGGTTTGTGCCAATGGTATTGTTTATAGAATATTGAAAGCCTTGTTGGGACTTGGAGCCACACAGAGCCAGCTGTGCTCTTCTCTAGGTGCCTGGTGTCTCAGTGACACCAGGGCTAGTGCTTTACTTACTTCAGTACTATCAGGATTAGCTGCTCTTCTGAAAAGTGAGACCAACCGTGTGCATTTGCTATCTGACTGAGCAGTGCAGACCAGGAGCTGGGAGTCTCCATCTGGCTCCACCACTGGGAAGCTGCATTACTTGATCCCTTGTCTCTCTGCACTTGTTTTCCCTATATTTACACCTTTTTCCCACTCCTGTCACAGTGGTTATTTGTGTAATAAGCAATAAAACAGTGCAAGTAAAAAGTATAGTGTGTTCTCCAGCTGAGAATTGCGTTCCATGTCTTTCCCTCAGACATACCTCTTCTGAAATGCCTGGGGTTGTGTGTAGGCCTTGCAGCCTCTGCTAGGTGCCTGCATGTGGTGGCTGCATTGAAGCAGTAGAAAAGATGATGGATGTGGGACAGGCAACATAGAATCATAGAATAGTTAGGGTTGGAAAGGACCTTAAGATCATCAAGTTCCAACCCCCCTGCCATGGGCAGGGACACCTCACACTAAACCGTATTACCCAAGGCCTCGTCCAACCTGGCCATGATGGTGGCTATAGTAGAAGACCCTAGACTAGTATCTCAGCTAAGAACAGATTTCATTTCCAAGCTATTTACCCATTCTCACACATTCCACCTGTGCAATCACTGCTCTGATTATAGACCAGTTACTCTACAGGTAGAGAGAAGGAAGTAGTAGCTCTAATATCCTGACCAGATTTTGACAGTTTGGTGTTTTTTTGGCCACTGGCCTGACCTGAAAATGGAAGAACAGCTGGGAAGCTGGATTACCTACTCACTCCATGTATTTTCTCATCAGGGAGCAGGCAGACCAGCCACTGAAGTGCTAACACAACAAGCTTCCCTGGTTTCCCCCAGGTATCTCTCTCTGGGTGTCTGCTCTTTGGGTGAGGTCAGGTGGATCCACCTGGATCCCAGATTATAGCAAACGCAAGCTACTCAAGAGGCTTTGCAGTCTGGCAGCAGCACTGTCACAAGTAGGGAAGATCAAAATATTGTATCTGCCTAGTGTGCAGTGAGATCAATGAAGGAATTAATAAGGAAATTGAGTCATTAAGGACATGGACTGTCACTGCCTGGGAGCTCCTGGGAGGTAGGAAAGAGAGAGCATGTGCCTCATACTGACCCTGTCTGAGGCACATGTGTGATGGCTCATCCACCATTCCAACTCGTTTCTAAGCTTGTGCCAAATTACAGTGTAAGGTCTGCTTGATCTCTGGTGAATGAGTTTAACTGTTTGCTAAACAAAAGTGATCCTGTCAGTCTGCACTCCGCTGCTTGAACCGCTTGCAATTACCATTCCACCAACGTAACGATGCGCTTCCACGCGCTGCTGCTCTGCCAGAAGTGTTGGTTGCCATGTAGTTACTCAGCAGAGCAACCCATTGCTCCTGTGAAATAGGTAGGTGATGTTGTAGCTAGAGCTGTGGGAAAAGATGTTGAAGTGCACACAGGTTACGTAGTGAAATAATAGCAATTGAGACTAAATCCTGGGAAAGCTGATCCCTGGTACTTTAATCACTTGCTCCCATTCCTGCTTTCAAAATCAGGTTGGTCCTCTGCTGGTACATCTCTGTTAACTTCAGGGCAGGTAAGTGCTGGAGGAGAATGTGCTTTCTCTGACAGTGAAACAACAGCACAAGTTTCCAAGGCAAACTTGGTGATCGAGTCCGGCAACCAGTTGTTGATGCTGTTGCAGGTGGCCTGTCAAAAAGCTCATTCCCCAGCCCAGGGGCCATTGACACAACACCCTGACCTTGCCTAGGCTTAGGTAATAAGTGCAGTCTAATTATGTTGCCCAAGAGTGGGGGAAATGAAACTGAAATGAAATGCAAAAATGGAGAAAACCATTTGAATTGGTGATGTGGAGAATGAAAAATACAAATTCTGTGTATGCAGGAAGGGCTCCTCCTGTATGTTGGGTTTCTAAAAGGGGAATGGTAGAAGCACAGCACTTTGGAGATGCAAGATGAGTTACCCATAAAGCAGACCTGAAGAGCAGCTGGTGTTCTGCAGTTGTAGCAGCAGGTTATAAACCTTTCAGCTTACCTTCAGTAAAACAAGAAAAACACACTGCTGGATTGGACTGCTTCACTGGTTTGCCTGACATGTGGTAGTGACCCCAGGAGATACTTGGGGTTGTTTCCTTGCAAAAAGTAAAGGCCAGAAATACTCCATCTGAGATGAGTTGACCATGGCTGCTCTGAAAGCTGACCTTAACGTCCTTGCTGCTGCTTCTGCTGCAGATATGCAGGTGCTGTGAGGCATTTCAGAGACTTCCTGCTCCTGCAGATCAAACAGTGCTGGTCTTGTCTGAAGCAAAACTTGTCTTGCCACTCCGTGTTTGTGAGTGTGAATATGACATTGTGCAACCTCACACAAATATGAAGAACAACTCTGATGTGCTAATGAAGACATTTTTGCTGTTGTTGATGGCTACCAGGCTTTTGTCCTGCTTTTCCCCAGCCTTGTTTGCTGGACATTGCTGTTGAGACTGTTCTACTGCTCCTCAGGAATGCACATGTGCTGACATGCAGAGGGGGAAACAAGCAGAGGCTTAAAACCTGTTTGATGAACATTCGTTATGTCTTTAATAACCCTTTTAACAGTTGGGGGGAGGGGGAGAAATTCACCTTCCCTGCTACAATGGTACTCATTCGAAGTTTTAATTCCCAAAGCAGCACTGTCTTACCATCTATCTATGTGCTCATTGCCAGGGCCAGGCTTCCTATGGATGGCAGATTGATGTAAGGAGCAGCAGGTGGGGCTGAAGGAGGTTGCTGGGTTTCTTGCTGGAGTTGGGTGAATAAATGTGCTAATACTAGTTCTGTGCTATTCAAGCTGCATTTCTATGTCTGGTCAGCATCTGAAAATTCATGTTTGCATTCTTGCATATAAAACCATATAGATTTTCCCTTAATTAAAAAATGCCAATGTTGTGTTTAAGTTAATAGAGGGAGAGAGTTATCTTTGTCTGAAGGCTGATA